GTAAAATTAATGAAGAGCCAACATGTTACCGTTTGCTTTTAGGTGCTTACCAAAAGTACAGAAATGGCCATTCCTTAATTGCACAAGACATATCTAATGATTAGAAGTCTTAATTAAACAGAGGAGGCAGAGCAGTGTGGAGAGAGTCATGGAATCAGGGAATGGTTTGGGATGGAAGGAACCTTAAAGCCCATCCAGTTCCACACCCTGCCATGGGAAGGGACAACTCCACTGGACCGGATGGCTCCAAGCCCCTTCCAGCCTGGCCTTGGAGACTTCCATGGCTGCGGCAATGGGGACCCAATAATGTAGATCCAGTCCTTGGTTGGTGTAAATTTAAGGTCTTTTAAGATGATTTGCACCAAATTTGACTCCTACCTGGATAGGTGTTCTAAAATTCAGAATGAAATCATGTCAGCCTTTGTGTTTTTATGTCGTGTCTGTCGCAGACATGTGATGACAAAACACACTTTTTAATAGCTCTTCAAAATCTGCTGGAAGAGGTTACGGAGGGAAAAACCTTGTAATGTGCTTGGTTGGTTTTTCAACATTGTTTTTAAGATCCTATGAACATGATTCAGGTTTTCAAAAAGATCAAATGGGGATCTTTTTGTTTCATTGTACAGTTGAGCAGATTAAAAAAGAAACCAGAAATGAGTAACATAAATCAACATAAAATCAATGACAAAAAAAGTATTAAAGTGTTTTGTGATTAGACTGATGAAAGAGCACAACAAAGAAATGAACCTCAGGTTGGGCAGATACATTGTACCGAAGGCAAAATTGAGAATAAAGGTCTTTCCTCACCAAAATTATCAGGATTCAGAACTGCAAGAGCTTCCTCTCCCCCCACATTCTTATGTGATAAGAAGTTATTTCCCAATCAAATATGAGAAGCACAAGATACCTCAGGCTCAATCATTAATGAAGGAAACCACAAGAAAGATTTGACAAGAAAAGAGCAATCAAACAGGTATAAATATTCATTGGGAGGGCTCTGATTGCCAAAGGTTTCCCACTAGAAACAGACCATCTTCTCGCTTTTTATACAAGAGGAGAATAAATCAGTGCAATGACATGGAATTAGGGTTATTTCTTTGCCTCCAAACTCCCCTATCACAATTTCAAGATGTGATAAACTAACTTGGCAACTGCTGAACTTAAACCTCGCCTCTCTGAACATCAGACATTCTGCAGCACCTCCCAAAGCTGCACCAATCCAATCCAGTCCAATCCAATCCAATCCAATCCAATCCAATCCAATCCAATCCAATCCAATCCAATCCAATCCAATCCTTTATTTGGGCACTGGACTTTTGGCATAGGAAGAGCTTTTCTCCTGGCTGAATACGCTTCCCACTTTCCACAAGCAGTTCCCTCCTAGGATGGCTCAGGGAATCTCTTCAACTGGAAAACCACTTCAGCTGGAAGGGATCAGCAATCTTGTGGATTTACAGGGACATTTCTGTAACCTTTTAACAACTGAGGTATTTTTCTCACCTTTTCTAACACTTTTGCTGTGCCAGGCAGTGGGACACCATCCTGACCCAGGATGCCCATACATCCCACATTCATTTCCACTGCAGGAGGAAGAAAACAACAGCAGGAAGATCACAATAGGAGGAAGATCAAACCAAGCCTTTGCTTTGTTGGGAGCCTGAGCTCTGATGCCTCCAATCGCAGGATCGGGCGACGTGGCACTGTGAGACGAGTGGATCCAGGAGCGTGGGATGTTGGGGCTCTCATTAGGACTTCAAAGGTGCTGAAGAAATTTAATGCCCAAAGGGTGGGACTCATTTCACCTCCCTCAACCTCCCCAAGCAGGCGCCGGGGCCGGTGTCTGGTTGTCTAGACGGCCTCTGGTCTCCAGGAAGAACAGAGGGAAGGAGCTGCAGAGGTGGATTCCTCCCACCTGCTTCCACTGCCTATTTTGGGAGGTGATGAATCACTGTCTGGAGATGCCAGGTCTCTTTCCATGAGCCAGAGATGGAGTCTCAAAGAGGAAATTAGAATCTGTGGCCAGGCTGATGGCTGAAGGAAGGAGGAAAGTGCACCCAGGCCCAGTGTTTGATGAGTTTTATGAGGAATATCCCTGGACAAATCCCAGCTTTGACTCCACATGTGGATTGTTAATGAGAGGCAAAAACATATGACCAGACTGAGTTGCCTTGGATAACTTTGGCTTTAGGATACAAGATACTGCACTAATCAAATCAATCCTCCAACATGTCATTAATAACTTGGACAAGAATCTGCCCAGTCCAAGAAACTGTGAAAGTCCATGCTCCGACCCAGTCGTACATGGATCAAATGGCTGTGGCACAGGCAGATTCCTGCCATTGTCCAACCTGACTGTGAGGAGCCCTCAATGGCTAAGAATAATAACAAAGCCCTTTGAGACTATCGCATAAAACACCTTCTGAGAGCTCATCCGGATTCATTTCCAGAGGCAACAAACAAATTAGTGAACGCCACTGTTCCTCTAATGAATTCCCTTTTCGGCGGCGCATTCAAGGGAGTGAAATGCTGACAAAGGAAGCGATTGCAAGTTGTCAAAATGACTCATCCAATCCCTCATCAAAATATTTTCCTTTTTGATTTCCTCACTTATTCCCCTCTGTTGATTTTTTTGGTTTTTTTTTTTTTGGGTTTTTTTTGTCTTTTTTTCTTTTGAGCCAAAAAGCTGCAGGTTTTTCTTCGGAGTGCTCTCCCCTTTCCCACATCCATATTCAGAAAAACAAATTGCTTATTCTTGAGGTCTTATGCACCACTTACTACTCCTTGGAAAGACCTAAAAGACATTAAATGAAGCTGCCTTCCCACTGGGATCCAGAAGAAACAACAGAAATTTGGCCAACACACACATTCTCCCAATGTTGAGCAACTTTACCCAAAATCTCTTCCCTCTCAGGAACCCAGTGGCTCTCATGAGTTTGGGAACTGGGGCTGCTGCAGCACAGCTGTTTCACAGATGTTTAATTGCAGCCTATGCTGCATTCCAAGTGTCTCCCACACATCCGACTGGGATAATGGAGTGCAGAGTGGGAATGGGGCACATCTTCAGTCTGATGATGAGGCTGGTTTCTCCACAGGGTTCTGAACATCTGCTCTTCTTTGGAGTCAAATCTGCATTTTGCTTCTGATAATCTGTTTAGAACTTCAAGGACTGTGGAAGTTTCAAACTGCAGCATTTGAAGCCTCTCATATTTGCTTAATCTGATATTTCCAACTGTGCTGGCAGCCAAGTTAACACTGTAAGCCTGAACTACTGTAAACAAAGGTGTCATCTGAATGTTGTAAATATCTGGAATTATCCCTTTTGGATACAGCAAAAGTAGCAGTTTACACAACTAATTTATACCACCAGCCCCTCAAACTCACAGAAGTTGCAATTACAGGTTCAATTAATGGCTTTGGGGATCCTGGAGCTGCTGTCACATCCCACAGTTTCCATGTGCATCTTCTTCTCAAACACTTGATACTAGAAAGTTGCGTGTTTGGAGGAGGTTTGGCATAATTTTTGTCATCCTGACTCTCGGAAAATGTTTTTGGAGGAGGTTAATGAGGATGAGGGAACATAGGACCTGGGTCTCCAGCTGCCACCCCATTATATAATATGGAGATTCCTCCAAGCATTGCTCCCTTTGAGAGGAAGGACTGAGGGTGTTCAGTTGTTTGAACTATAGTGTCCTTTTTTTCTCCCAAACACTTCTTCTGCAATGAGCTGAAAGGGCCCTTTTGTTTTGACTTTCCAACTGCCAGTTTGGAGAAGGCCTGGAGAGGTTTCCTGCCTCACCTCCTTGGGCTGGTGATTAGGAGAGAGAGGGATTCATCTCCCCAGTGTGAGTCAGAGCCTTCCTTGTTGTCCAGCCTAATCTACTCATTAAGACTTCCTCTGTTGGTGCAGAAAGCCCAGCCCCTGCGGAGAGCAAATTGCCCCCATTCCCCCGAGCACGGCCCCAGGGACTCCGTGCCTTGGAGCTGTCTCCCCAAGTCTCAAGGACATGTCTGGCAAAGTCACCCAAATTCAGCCGTCACTTGGTGAGTGGGGCGGATCTTGCCAAGCTGGAACTGACTATTGTTCCCTTTTTGTTCCCCGTAGAGACTTCCAGGAGGCAAGTCTAAAAGGGCTCTGACACCCAGCCTTGGAAGAAACTTCAGAATAGTGAAAGCCAAAGAATTAACTGTCACAAATAAGAACTTCCAGCATAATTCTAGAAAAAATGGTCACTGATGGCACAGAAACATACATCTGTGAGCAAACAGAAATATGTCACAGATCGTGGGCAAAACCTGATCTGCTTCACTGGTGTTTCAGGGAAGGTCATTGTGAAAAGTTGCACATTCCCAGGCTTCTGCACATTCTCAGAAATCCCAGAATTCTGTGATTCTGTTTATGTAACTGGGAGATATTTTGAGTCCTTGCATACAAATCCAAACCTTAAGCTTAGTGAATTTACTGGTGTTTCAGATACAGAAATGATCCATTATGACACAACTTCCACAGTGTTTGTTCTTCTACAGTTGACTTTCTTCTTTTATTTTTCCTTTGAGTTACTTTTCCGCACCCAAAATTGTGAAATTACCTCCACAAAGTGCAAGTCCGCAAAACATCCCATCACACACAGCCCTATGAGACACAAAACCCCAAACGACACACTGCAAACAAATCACAAAGAGTTCTTAAAAAATGTTCCTAAACTATAATTAGCTCTAAGTTAGGGGAGCACTTCAAACCATAATGTATTCGAAGGCAACTTGCAAACAGAGCACTTTTAGATTCCTTTTTATTTCCTCAGTAGTTACTATTTGCTGGGCTGGTTTGCATTTTGAGGAGCATTTATTGCTGCCAGGCAAACCAAACCCTTAAGTACTTAAATTACCGTCCTGATCCTATCAAGGCCAGCTTCCCAAAATATATATAAGGGACAGCATCCCTGCATCTCTCCAGTGGGATCCCTGTTCCTATCCTGCACCAGAGCAGCCCCGTAACTTTGCTATTCTACCTTCAAATAAGCCACAATGAGCAGGCAGGCACCAACGGTGAGATCTGTCCTGGGACGAAGAGGCTTCAGCTCAGCCTCGGAGATCTGCGGCCGCAGCTACGCGGCGTCGGCCAGCCAGCCGGTGCGCTGCGGCGCCTACAGCAGCAGGAGCGTCTGCAACCTGGGCGGCAGCAGGAGGATCTCCTATGTCAACGGGGGCTGCGGCACCGCCTGCTTTGGGGAGATGGGCTTCGGCGGCATGGGCTACGGGAACGCTGCAGGAGGCAGGGTTGGCCTGTGCGGCCCCCGCGGATACAGCATCGTGCGGGGGTACCCCGAGCGCAAGGCCGACGGCATCCAGGGCATCTGCATCGACGAGCGGCTGCTGAAGCCCCTCTGCGTCGGGGTGGACCCGCTGGAACACGAGATACGCTGCCAGGAGAAGGAGCAGATCAAGACCCTCAACACGCAGTTTGCCTGTTTCATCGACAAGGTGAGTGCAGTCCTGCTGCAGAATTGCTGTCCCTCGAGGAAAACAAAACCTGACCGAACCCCTCCCAAACCCATCGTGTGCCACGAGTCCATCAACCTCCTCCAAAGCCCCAGTCCAGCTCTGCCATGAATCCCCGAGCTGGATCCACGTAGGGGTCCAGCTTTCCACAGAAAGTTTTAGGAAAATTCTAACAATTTTTAATAACTAATAATAATTTTAAGAGCATGTTGATCCAGATTGAGATCTTTTTAATGGAGTTCATTTCAGCCCTGTCCCTGCTCTGGCATTCCATGGCCTTTGAATCATGGCCATGGTTGCAGTGGGCTTTCTTGCAGGTGTTTCCTCTTGTTCAAATTTGATTTCTTGCTGCAGCTTAGGTGGAAGTTACAGCCTTGACTAGTTCATCCTTCTGTCCTGTGTTAAATAATTCAAATAATTCCCTCCTCTCTTTGACTTTAAATATAGTGACAGTTCCAAAAACTTTCCCAAAGGCAAAGGTGGTTAATCTTGATCCAGACATGTGAAGGTTAGAGATGAAATCTGATCTGTCACCCAAGGATCCGTTTTTTTATAAAATAGAGACAAAGCAGTTTCACTATCTGGGGACTTGATTTTATCCTAAAATACATCAGAGGCACCACCTGGAGTTTTGTTCCTAATACTTGTTAAGAAATGCAGATTTAGACACCAGGCTCCTGGATTTCTAAATAACGTAGACATGGGAGTCTTTGATTTCTAAATAATGTAGACATGACATTTAGATTTCTAAATAATTTACATGTCTGAATTCCAGATTTTGAAATAATTTAGACTTGTGGCATAAAGATCTCTTAATAAGGGCAGATAACTTTCAGATCATGGTGTCGTATCATTTCTCACTTCCTCAAAATCCCATTCCTGCACCGGTGGTTAAGAGCAGAGAGTTAAACAGGTGTTGAGTCCCTGCCTTCACCTCTTTCCTTGAAGAATTGCTATCTTTTGCCTTCAGGTTCGATTCCTGGAACAGCAGAACAAAGTGCTGGAGACCAAGTGGGGCCTCCTGCAGCAATACGTGCTGCCAAAAAAAGGGAAAAACCTGGAACTGTACTTCGAGAATTACATCTGTGACCTGCGAAAGCGCCTGGACTGTTTGCTGTGTGAAAAGCAGAAATTGGGCAGTGAAGAATGTGCCACAAGCCAGCTGGTGGAGGAGTTCAAGTGCAAGTAAGGACCTTCTGAGCTCCTCTAGCTGATGGCGTTTTGCTTTTCTGGTTCATCTTGGGCAACTTCTCCTAGACTTGTGGCATGTCCCCTCTGGGAGTGCCACATTCTTCTGTCTCACTGGCAAGCTCTTTGCATTGGTAATGTTGTTGTTGCTCATGAAGAAGCTTCTGATCTTGAGATGGTTTAATGTTGGTCTCCAGACACTGATCTGGCAGTGCCTGGTGGCGGTCCCAGCAAGAAAGAGTTGTCATTTTTTTACCTGGTGGTTATTGTCATTTGTACTTGAAGTCATTATAATTTATACCTGATGGTTGATGTCTGAGTGTCTGAGCAATTTTGTTCCTCAGCCCTTTTTTCCTCCTTTTCCAACAGGTATGAAGAGGAAATCAACAGGCGCACAACTGTGGAGAATGAATTTGTGGCACTCAAAAAGGTGAGAAGCTCAAACGACATGAATCGTTTCACCTGTAGTAGGTTTTTTGGGGGCAAAATTGGCTGAAATAGTTAATTATTAACAACAAATCACAAAAGTATTATGATGAGTTGGAGGGAGACTTAGAAAGAGGTACAGGGTTGGGAAAAGAGGCAAGTAGAAAGTAAAAATAATGTCTCCCCAAAGTTTACATTAACAGCACTACAGCACCAGTTTTGTTGCCTCAAAAACCTTCCTGAAGTGTGGGAGGGGGACAGAGAAGGACAGGTCACACCAGAACACCAGGTTATTTCTGTCTGTCTCTCCACATCCTTTATTCTTGGACATCAGAAAAGCAGGAATCATTTGAAGAATATTAAAAATTGTGTTTAAATACTCATTAGACAGTTGTGGGTTTGTAGCTGCGTCCTAAGTGATAAATCAACTAATTCCTGTAAGTCATGTTGGAATGGTTTCGTTTTCCTTCAGGAGGCACCAGGTTATCCTGACTCACCCTCTCACACCTTTTTTCTCTTGAAATCTTGTTGAGGCACATTTCTGTCTTGTTGGTGTTGCCTCTGTGTGTTTCTCCAACATTTACAGCTAGATTTGGGCTGGAATGTGTGTGTCTCTCTTCTTGCAGGATGCAGATTGCATCTTCTTAAACAAGGAAGAGCTGGAGGTGAAGGTGGATCTGTTAAGGAGGCAGCTGGAGCTGCTGAAATGTGTGTTTGAGGAGGTGAGTTCCTCTGGTACATCCTGGGACTTCGGTGTCCTGTCTTATCCTTCATATGCTCCAAATTTCTACTGCTTGAAACTCCTCTGGGATGTGTCTCATACAAAGCCCTGAATAACTAAAAGCATGGAAGTACAAGGTTGATAAAAAATTAACATGATTATGCTGGAGATAGGGTGGTTCCCCCTTCCTTCATGCAGCTCCAGGTAGGAATTGGCTGTGTCCTAACTCTACCCTGGAGAAAAGATGAGTCCGTCTCGTTCCTCTGGATTGCAGCTGCCTGATTAGAGCTGAAGCAACTCCCAGCTCAGTCCTGTCATTAAATCACTCAGGCAGCAGGAGATGAGAGGATACCAAGGGTTAAGTCACTCCTATTTCTCGCCCTCAAGGGTTAAGTCACTCCTATTTCTCGCCCTTGATGTGGACAGAATTGCTGCAGGTCAGCACGTAGGTCAGCAGTCACAGGTGACAACTCATCCTGCCACAGGATTTTCTGCTGAGCCATCCCGAGGGACATTTCTTGACTTGTTCTATCCCTCAGCCACTCCATGTGCCAGCCCTTCCCTCCCTGCAAAGCTTGAGAGGTGAGAAGAGCTGACAAAGCCCTTCCTACCCCGCAGGAAAGGGCCCAGGTCGATCGCCAGCTCTGCGACACCTCGGTCATCGTCAAGATGGACAACAACCGAGACCTGGACATGGAAAGCATCATCAAGAACGTCGAGTGCTGGTACCAGGAGATTGCCCAGAAGAGCAAAGAAGAAGTTGATGCTTTCTACCAGAACAGGGTGAGTAAGGGGCCAGCTGGGTCTGCGCCTGGCAATGTCACAGGCCAAAAGTGACAACTGTCCTATTTCTTGGTTCCAGTTTCAGGAGCTGCAGGATAAGAGAGGGAAATTCTGCCATGACCTGCAGAGCAACAAGTGTGAGATTTCAGAGCTGACACGGATGATCCAGAAGCTGCAGTGTGAGCTGGAGAGCGTCAAGAAGCAGGTAGGAGATGTTTCCAGAGAAGTAGGACAGCTCAGACACAGGGCAGGGTGATGCATTGATCTTTAGAAGACTTGACATCTGCTCTAGGCCCTGTCTGGAAAGTGCAAAGTGGGTTGAGAGGGATGGGATGCTGGTGGGTTTTCCCTGTTTGCAATTGGAAGAGCAGATTTATCCAAAACCAGAGTGTCCAAAAAGCAGGATAAGAAGTTTTGCAGACACCAACACTGCTGTCCTCTCCTGACAGGTCTCCTGCCTGCAAACTTCCATTTGTGATGTTGAGCAGCGTGGGGATTGTGCCCTCAAAGATGCTCGAGAAAAGCACGTTGAGCTGCAGAATGCTCTACAGAAGGCCAAGGACGAGCTGGCCTGCATGCTGCGGGACTATCAGGAGCTGCTCAATGTCAAGCTGGCCCTGGACATCGAGATTGCCACCTACAAGACTCTGCTGGAGGGTGAAGAGAGCAGGTTGGTGGCACTTTTCCCTCCTGTGTATCTGGGGCTATGGCAGCTCCCAAGTGAATTCTGCCTCCAAGGTCTCCCCAGGCTCACAGAAAGTGGACCTGGAGAGGTGCCTGGAGGCCATGAAGGCCACATGGGTGCCAGCAAAAACAGTTCCTGTCCCAGGGATAGTGAGGCGTGTTGCAACAAGGGACTAAGTGGTCTGGATTGTGGCTGGAAGTTGTGAGTAATGTGTGTTTCTCTTTTCTCCCCACAGGATATGTGTGGGGAACCCTGTGAGCGTGTGTAAGTAACTGTGCATTTTCAGCCATGAAGGTTTCTTGTTTTAGGACAGATACCTTTGGGAGCAACATTATCTGTCTGCCCCAGGTCCCTCTGCCTTCCTTTTCCAGTTCTGGAAAGTTTAGCCCCAGAGATCTCAAATACCTTTAAATTTTAAAAAACCCAGCTTTTGGAGTGAGGGGAGGAGGTCAAACTCAAGACCCTTTTCTACCCTTGGAGGCAACAGGGAGATGTCCTGGGGACCATGGGTTTTGTACTGAACCTGGGAAGCACCAGCAACATGGGAAGGGGGAGGATGCATGAGGGGATGTGTTGGGACACGGGGGAGGAGTAGGACGGAGCAGGGGCTCAAACACATTGGACAAATCCGGAGGAAATCAGGTTTGGTTGGTTCTGTCACTCAAGAAACAACGTGCCTTGTGGAAGTCGTCCAGTTTTCCTCCCTAACTGACTCGCATGGGCTCTGTTGCAGCTGTGGTCAGCAGTGGCTACAACATCCCTGATGACTGCGGGATGATGGCCAACGGGGCCGTGTGTGGCTACGGCTCCCTGGGCAGGCGGGCCGGGCGCCACAGCTCCCAGACCGGTGGGTTCAGCTCCCGCAGCGCCGGCATCCACCCCAAGAGAGTCCTCAGCTCCGTGGCCAAGCAGTGCATGCCAGAGGTGTTCTGCCAGGCTGGAGGGGTCAGCTGCAAAGCCGGCGGGTTCAGCTCCCGCAGCGGAGGGTACCCAGCCCGCACCGTGGTCAGCGCTGGCAGCGCGGGCATGAATGCCAGGATGGGGCCCTGCCAGGCTGGACAAGTGCTCAGCTTTGGGAACCAGGGCTGCGTCATCCGGCAGCTGGCGGGGCCCCCCGTCGTTGTGTCCAGCAGCACTGAGGTCATGGGGTGCAACAACGGCGTGGTGGGGAATTTTGGGGTCGTCAGAGACCCCTGTGTGGTCCCATAGGACAGTGGCGCTCAGATGCGCCAGCCCCATGCCAGCACGATGCAGGGTGATTCCTCTGCCCCTTAGCAGCAACATTTGTCACCAAACCCACTCCCACATTTATTAGCCCCAGATTTATCCCCCCTGAGCTGTGTTTTCAGAATCTCCAAGCCTAAAGATCCCTCTAGAAACTTCTCCTGCAGATGCTCAGCACAGTGTGATTTCTGAGTCCTTACTTTAGGTTATCACAGCTTTAAGGGTTTGTTTGTTGCACTGCTTCCCCCTCTGTCTTTTCCCATAACAAGCAGATTAATTAACAATATTCCCCCCTCCAAGAGCCCTCTTTTTTCTTCCAGCTCCTCCCAAAGCATTTCAGAAAAGAGAGCAAGGATTTAACTGCTTAAACCTTCCCAGGAGATGCTGCAAAGAGCAGACTCCCTCTATTTTTATCCTGTCTTTTTTTGGTCCAAGAAAACCCTGCACTGCAAATTTATGCTTAAATCCAAAACAAAGCAATTTTCAAAGCACCTGCTGACTCTTCGCAGCCATCAGCTTTTTTTTTGTGTGTGTGAAATTTGCTCATGGATGAACATATATGCTTCTGCATGTTGGGGTGGCTGGGTCAAGGAGTGCTAATTTTTAGAACAGATCACCCCCTTTCCTTTTCCATCCCCCCAGAATGCCTAGGGAAGTTAATGGTGCATAAATTGTCCATGTTGACATGTTGACAAATGGAGCTGTTCCCACTGACTGCTCAAACTTCCCAGCTTCTCACTGAGTCCTCAATAAACTGCTTTGAAAGGACATCTTTTGTCTCTCAATTTTTCCATAGATGGTATTTAAAGAAACTACAAAATAGATGAAAAAATACTCTGGAGAGAATAAGAACCAAAGATAACTTTGGATTCTCTGTGGGCAGTTTGGGACATCGTGGGGCTCATGTTTCACTGGGGTAACTGTGGTTTATTTATCTCCTCATGGCATATCACGTAAGATATTTTATAGACCAGTTAACAATTGATGTCAAAGATTTTTAGAAACCTCCAAAATAATCCTGAGCACCACAGGGTAGTGTTTTCCAACCTATTGCAACCTCCAAACAATGTATTTGTTTGATCCTTTCAAGTCAGAGCAGTTGAATGAAGATGAATTCAGCAGTGCCCTTCTGGGCTCATAGGTCTGATGATCAAGGCTGTGAGACCAGAGACGTGTTTCAGACACAAAAACTTGGCTTTAGTGGCTTTGGTGATGACAAAGTGTTATTTGAACTGTGTGACATAAAAATCACTGAGGTGTCTTGGCCATGGTGAGGTGGGATTGACTTTGTCCTGGTTTTGGAGTCTCCCATGTTGAGCTCAGCAGGGTTGCTGGGGATTCATTTCTTGGAAAAAAACGACATTTCCGCGGGGTGATTCATCCAGCCAAACACAGGTGCATAATTTAGCATGAAATGCATGGAGCTTGAGGCTGTCTGCACCAATGGGATCCGTCCTGGCTCGGGAGGCAGCCCCGGGCAGGGGGATTAGCCCAAACATGGGTGTCCCATGCCAGGCGCCTGCAAATTCCCAGGAATCCTCCCTGCCTCTCCCGCCGGACTTGCAGACGTTATTATCACAGGGAATTTCTTCCTGTCTCCAGCCCAGGAAGAATTACAGGCCACGCAGCCCCAGTAATCTCTCCACTCTCACAGGGCAACATTCTAATTGCAACCTGAAAAAAGGGGACAATTAAAGGGTGAGGTGGGGAATAAGATCAGCACCTTTGGCGAATGGCAGGGGATGTCATTTCTGTGCTGAGAGTGGAAAATGCTTCATCCAGCTCTGACCAGCTGCGTGTCAGACCCTGGTAGGGTGAGGTGGATGCTTGTCCTCCACCTGTGCCCTCTCTCCAACGAGGAATCCCAGTTCAGCAGTTTCAGTTTTAATTGGCTCCAAGTAGATGGGATGGAGCTCACCTCAGTGGCGAATTCTGCACTTGAGCTTGCTTAATTCACCACTTGCAAATGGAATTTGGAAATAGGAGTCCCTCCCACCAGGCAGCTTCCATTAGTTGTGCGAACATCATGGATTCATGATGCGGTGTCCAGATGTCACTCAGCCTTGGCCAGGTGTTCAGGAAACTCTGAAGCTCCAAACCTGGGTCCTGTGTCTGTGAGGAGGCCTGGCCATCCCTCCACAATCCATACCCAGCATGATTCATCTTGGCTTTGTGCCAAGGTCCCTTTCTGTTGGTTTTGCTAAAAAGATGGCTTCTCGAGGAAGAGGAGGGGAAGGAAGCCCTGCTTTGGAGCTGGGCTTTGGTCCTCTCCTGGTTGACCTGACCCATTGCTCTTCCCCTACCTGGAGCCAGGCTTTGGTCCTCTCCTGGTTGACCTGACCCATTGCTCTTCCCCTACCTGGACCTGGGCTTTGGTCCTCTCCTGGCTGACCTGACCCATTGCTCTTCCCCTGCCTTTTCTGCCTTTATGGCCTGGACAAACAGGAACTGGCTTTGCAAGGCATTCCCAGCTCAGAGGGGCGGGGGCCTGGCACGCCCCAGCATTTCCAGAGCTTCCCCCCTGACCATTAAAGTCAGACACAGAGGCAGCCCCAGGTGAGAGAGGGCTCGAGCCTGGGCTGTCCCTGTGGGGCCTGGGGCTGAGCTCAGACAGAAGCCTGAAATATTCGGAGCATTACCAAGGGTGACTCTTCCCATTCCTGACTGAGGAAGCAGGAGGTGACTGCCTAATTTCAGAAGGATAATTAACTTTTACTAGCCTGAATAACAGAGAGAAGAAAGGGAGGTGATCCTGCCTCATCCAAAACAAGGGCAGCTCCTTTCCTCCTCCTCCTCCTGGAGCCAACACCCAAATATTCTGAGGTATATTAGCAAACCAAAGAGGGAAATGAAGGCTGCATTTATTTTTCTCTCTCTGGCTACAGCTCTTAAAAAATTTATATCGGGAGCAAAGGGAAAGGGTTCATCTCAAATGATTTTCAAACCATTAATTAAAGCTGTAAAACAAGCTCAAAATTCTCTCCTGGCAAGGCATTGCTACCTGTCTTCCCAATATTTATTTTGTGTTTTAATCTTGGGGATTGTTTTGACTTTATTATTTTTATTTCCTTTTTAGTCTTAAGGAATGTTTTGCCTATTTTTCCCTTCCTTTTCAATAGCAACAAGTTCAAACACTCGTTATAACTTGGGGAACTGGAATTTCAATTAAAAATAATCAAAGAAAACATGTTGATACCGGAGCAATGTCTTCATGAAGTTCTTCTAGCAAGAAAAAAATACTTAGAAATACCATTCCAGGAATTTTATTCTATTAAATGTCTTGGGTTTGGTTGACTAATTTAATAAAATTAATGTCATCCCAACCAAACCCAGGACATCAAACCAAAGCCTACCAAGGTTGAGGAGATGAAGAAGAGAAAGGGGAGAAGCAAATCTATCCAGGCTGAGTGCACGGTCCAGGTCTCTTCCATCATCCAGGGTACACTTGGACAAGTCAGAGGATTTCCCCTCCAAAAAACAAACGTGTGCTGCCAGAAGACCAGTGTGAGGAGAAGGCAGACTCTCCTCCTGCATCAGACCCCTCCCCACCCTTCCTAACAAGCATCCTCCAGTTCAACCATCCTGAGCAGGGTGGGAAAATTCTGCCATAAATTCATTTTTAAAACAAGAGAGATTCATGACACCAACCCACCCAACCTGAGCCTAATTTATAGACTAGAAAGGTGAGGGTTGGGCCTGGCACAGATTGCTGAGAGAAGCTGTGGCTGCCCCATCCCTGGAAGTTCCAAGACCAGGTTGGACAAGGCTTGGAAAAACCTGCAGTGGGATGGGCTTTAAGATCCTTCAGTGGGATTCTTCTTCTCCCACATCATCTCTCTGCACTGATTGCACCAAGACTGGAATGCAGAAAGAGAAGGAAGAGGTGGGACTCTGACGGGAACAGAGAGAAAGTAACCTCCCAGAAAACCATCTCCCAGAAAACCATCTCCCAGAAAATCATCTCCCAGAAAACCATCTCCCAGAAAACCATCTCCCAGAAAATCATCTCCCAGAAAATCATCTCTCAGAAGTCCTGGCCACAGCGTGTCCCTACAGCACAAGGCAGGAACAGCAGCACAACTGCAGCCACAGCAGGAAGAACACCCATCCCAGTAAATACCTGAGCTGGTAATTAACCCCATCAGAATGAATGGAACAAGGAAATATTCTCCGAGCCAAGGCTGTCATTTAAGCTTTTCCACTTGCTCATTATTCCCCGTGTGTAAGAGTTACCAAAATGTTTTTTTTACGTCAAAAGCTGACACCAACCATCACAAGCCAAACAAAACCAGGCAGGCTCAAGAGACATTTCTTCCATCCAGCCTGGATAAGGAATCCAAGATAAAGAACATTTTCTTAAATCTGTCACTATACATGCTCTTTCCCTGGCCTCTCTGTCCCCTCCTTCTCTCCTCACCTGGAATAAGATAAAGATGCTGAACCTCTGCACTTTAGCATTGATGAGGAGGAGTTTTTCAAGCCTTTTAGCTCAGGAGCAGCAGAAATGGGAAAACCAAACTCATGCAGCCTCTGAATCAACAGCAACAGCAAAAATTAGATCAGATTTACAGGAACAAGAACCCTCTTTGGCCTCTGTGGAGATGGTGGTGATGGAGCACATCAGGCGGTGGCAAGAGGAACACAAGGAGAGGATGTTTGTGCCTTTGGCTTGGCTTTAACAATCTCAGAATCTGGGGAGTGCAGAGATTTGGTGTTCTGGCAGCAGAGAAGTTGGAGGATGAATCCTGATCACAGTGATCCCAGCTGCTCCCACTCTGCAAAAAAACTTAAATAGTTGGAGCACAAGCAAAGATCCTGGGGTGAATCAGCTGGGACTGTGAGAGAGATACAGAAATCTCAGGAGCAAATCTGCCTCCTTTCATGACAATGCAGGAGTGGGATTTTTGCTTTACTCCACTTGATGGTGGATTCCTTACAAAGACTGGGAAGTTCCCAGTCACACCACAGTGATTTGGTTTGCAATA